TTTTTTCTAGGCCTCGTCGCCGAGTGCCGAGAGCACAAAGTCGCCGGTCAGGAGACGCAGAGACCAAAACACACTGTCCAGAATCTTCAACCTGGTGAGCCTACAGCACATTCACAATCTTCTTTTACTCAACATGTCCTCTTTCTACCTGTAAAACTGGGCTTTATGAACACTGTCTCCTGTCTGTGTTTGCCCAAAATGCAACAGTGATGCTCTCACCAGAGATCAGTGAGTAATACATCGATACAATATAATGATTTCACTTCCATTCATCTCCTCTCATCAGCTCCAGTCAACAGCAGCCTGTCATCATAATATACTAACAAGCATAGGAGCATGAACATCTTCATCTATAGATTATATCATACATTTCTCACACATATCCTTTGATTATTTTCTACAAATGCCATCTTCTTCAAGTATTCTAAGCATTATTTTACAGTGAGGATGATCTTCTCAAATCCCTTTATATGTGAGGTATAAGACAATCAAATCACCAAAAAACCTTCACCACAGATTGCTCTTAAATGCCATCTCTGGGGATAGAAATGGATGATTATTTCAAAGCCACCTCATTATAATCCTTTCTTCTCTCCAGGGAGAAACCAAGTCCCGTCCACCCCCTAAACGCTGGAGCACCATCTTCTAAGCTCTCTGCCGAGGAGCAAACCACCGATCCACCTCCGATGGGAGAAGAGGAAGAAGAAGGGGAAACTGATTTGCAGGCAGCGGACTCACAACCTCAAGAAATGTTAACACACTAACACCAGCCTCCTGTATGTTTAGACATTGACAGCGTATAAAATCCACTCTCCAGAGATATAGGGGCTTGTTTTTGTTTTAATCCAACAGATATCTTGTCTACGTCATGCTTTCAGTAAAATATCTTACTGTAAAAACCACCCATGGTGCTAGTGTCAGCTGTTTGAGCTTTGTTCATGGCCGATTTTTTTTATTGTCTCCCCCGTCATTAGCATTTTGTACGTGAGTGGCGCTTTGTGTATCTCGCTGCTTTCCAGAAACTCTACTCATACACCAAATATACCTTTGTTTCAATGTGAAATCTAGACGGGGATTTGTCCACTGTGGCTGTTGTGCTCGAGTGAAATTGTATGTTGCAAAGCATTTGAAAACACAACTGGAAACCTACAGAATATGAGTTATTTAATTTTAATGTTATGTTTCGTTTCGCTTCCTGTAATTAAAAACATGTACATACAGTATGATGTCCTTTAAGCCTATCAAAGAAATAAAATGCCCTTTTCAAATGCACTGTTACATAACTAAAGAATGTCCTAAACAACTGGTCTGCTCTCTTATGTGTAGCTTTGGCATGGATCTAATGTATTATCTGTTTGAGTCTTACATTTAGTTTAATTTAATATTATTTGTGTTTCCTTAAGAAGATGACAAGCAAAAGTTGGATTTGATGGTTGGATTGTAAGTGGTTGAAAGGTCTAAGGCAGAAGCCCCCAGATGGCATGAGAAGCAGTGATGGACAGAATAGTGATTTAAAATGTTCTGAAGTATTATTTCTCCATTTCATTCTGTTCATAATAAATTGCATCCCCACTATCATTGTGCATGCTCTGTCTGTATGTTCACTTTAACATCAAAGCCAAAAGAAATAATTGGTTGTTGTTGTTGTTTTTGGTTGTTGTTATGTTTCCTCTTAATGTAAAGCTCTGTTTTTAATGTGCAGCTAAACAAAAAATAAACACATTGTCTTCTCTGTATCTAATAATTCTGTCGTCTTTATACATTGTTCTTTTACTTTTTAAGGATTTTTTAGCCATAGTTACGGTGTCCGACACATGCAAACGCATCACAACGGCTCAAAACACTTTCATTAGAAGAAAACGCTCAGTTACAATTGAAAATTGAAGATATATCTTTAACAACTTGACAACACATGCACAGCATTTAGAGAACACTCACCGACTTGGCGAAACATGGGCAACATTTACTAAAAAAAACTCTGCAAGAAGCTCAAAACACAATGGAAACCAGGGGATACTAAAAGGTGATGCACACAGATGGGACCTGATGCCTGTATTAGAAGCAGGATTTGCGGTTAGCGAGGTAACTTCAGGGTTAACTCTGAGTTTTCGGTCCAACAACGCTGGATCACTTCTTACTAGTGATGTGACGTTCGCGAACGATCCGATTCTTTTGAACGGCTCTTTGGTACAAACAAAGGGAACCGAGTCGTACTTGGTGAGAGCCGTTCTTTTTATCGTTGGTTCTCTGCCTGCCATAAATCCACTCGCCTTTAGGGGAACTTGCTTTCTTGAATGCAAATTTGCCATAGATGATGGCATAACGCATGCTGCTTGAGTAGTAGTTTGGCTGGCTGAGAGATGTAGCAAGTTATACATTTTCTGTGAGTAAAAGTAGATTTCTGGCAATACAGTCAATCATTACCCTGGTGATTATTTCGCAGATAAACCTATTAACCCCGCCCCCTTAAAAAAAAAACGGCTCTTTTGAACGGCTCTCGGAAAGGAACGGAGCCATAAGATCCGGCTCTGTTGAGGTATAACATAGAGATATGTATATTGTATGATTCCATGTATTACGGTGTATCATATTGTTTATGTAAGTAACTGCGACTACTACTGTGTTCATTGGGTGGCGCTGTGCCCATGATTGTGATGTCACTACCAGGGGTATAAGACAGTTAGAGTCACACCCCTTCTTTGTCACTTCTCATGTCTTTTGACCTGTGTGCCCCAAATAAATAACGCCGAGTTGAATGGCTAAATTGAACTGTGAGAATAGTCACCTTTCCGCTGCAGATAGACAAAAGGTATAAATCTATTCTGCTAACAGGCAAAAGAGCCGTAATTCCCATCACTACTTCTTACCGGGATAAATCGGCATGGTAACTTATGCTGAAAACATAACCTGCTCCAAAGCAGGATAGGTTTGAGATAAGAGATAAACTCTGTGAAAGCACCGCCTGCTGACCAATCACAGCTCACTGCTTGATGACCAATCAGAGCTCAATGCAAGGAGTTTAAAGCAATAGAGTATGGTCGAGGCTCAATGAAACAGTCTAAACTGCCGTATATGGCTGGCAATAAGTCGCCGACCATGTGAACATGTAAATTAATAGAATACCACTGTCTATAACATTTGCGGGAAGCAAGCTTATAAATACCTGCCTCAACATAAGTAACCGGAGCCAAAAATGTAGCTGTTAGCTTAGTTAGCATTACAGCTTAGGCTAGGCTAACTGACTACTGGCAGAAGCGAAGTCCCGCCCATCTACTTCCGACCCATGGGACCTTATTTCGGGAAAATGATGTATTGAAGTCAATGGGGAGAGAAAGATTATCTTTCGATCCCGTTTGAATTGTGCCACGAATTACACATATGATGTTTGTCAATCTTAAAAAATAATTTCCATGTCAAAAAAGTCAGTTTGTCTTAAAACTGTTGAAATATAAGACTATGAAAAATACGCAATTAGAAAGACTACAAATCCCAGAATCCCGGTCCTGCATGCTGGCTCTTACGGAACCGACTAACTCCCCTTGTGTGTATGTACAGCTCTCAACATGCCCAGACTTGTAGTGATTTTCACCTCTTTTAATACTTTTCGCCTCATTCTGAAAGAAAGAAGTGAAATGTGCCAACGTGACGGCCATCTTGGTGTGTGGTGCGAGATGGGAGATGTAGTTCATTGAGCGGTTTCACACACAAAAAAGTGTTACTTCACAGTTTTAAGACACATTTTTATTTTTTTGATTTGCAAAATTATCTTTTAAATTGACAAACATCATATGTGTAATTCGTGGCACAATTCAAACGGGATCGAAAGATAATCTTTCTCTCGCCATTGACTTCAATGCATAACTTTTCCGAAATAAGGTCCCATGGAGCTCCCCCGGAAAGGGAGGGACTTCGCCTCTCTATTGTAGCACACATATTTTTGTTTGATCAAAACGCAAAAAATTCTAACTATAACAAGAAAAAAATGTCTTGGGTTCAAATGTTTGTTGCAGATATTACAACTATATCAACCCTATTTATAGTACCCTGCTGTTTGTAACCATGACGATAGCAAAGGCTGCAAATGCAATCAGGTTTTAACCAGCTTCTGGCTGAAAAGCAATGAGGGGAAGTGGATAAAGTAGTGTATTGGCTCCAAACTCAACCCAGGGTCTATACAAACTGAAGACTCTCACCCTCTGGAGGCATCCTCTGGGGGCCAATCATCTCTCAGACAGTAATCGCAATATATAAGTCCAGAAAACAAGATCTAATTCCGCAAGCGGTACATTTTGTTCTACAGTTAATTGATCACTGAAAACGGATTATGTGGAGAGGGGGAAAAAAACAATGTTTCACATCATTATAAATAATGCTGAGATAGAAGTGTTCAAGGACAACAGCCAGTCTGCAAAGAGCTCCATCTCTCCTGCATGTATTGTTCCTAGCATCATTTGCCAAATCCACATCGGGCAATTTTCCTGTGTTTGACGCATTTCAGGATTCACATTAACGTTCGTTAAACCCATATTACCTTATTTTGATAGCAACAAATATATGGCTGCTTATAGTGCCATACAGCAAAACCTTTGTTCCTCGTTGTGCAGTTGCTCTTTGATTGTCAAAACCTCATGTTTGCTATTGAAATGGAGATCTGTAGCTGTCCCCCTGAATACATTAAATAATAGCCTCACTAATTTTCTCGTCATGTCTCTGAGTCTTTTTTAACCCTAATGGAGGAGGCTTCTTTAAACAGAGCTCTTCCTTTTGCACAATATGATAACACAGAAGGGATTCTGTAGCGTTGAGCAAGAGCGACCTCTGGTGCTCCACTGATGTGCTGCAGAGGAGCTGAAATGAACCAAATTGTTTTAGAATGAGTGTAATATAAATCGCAACATTCCATTATCAACCAGAAAAATCTAAAGTTTTAATTATCATATAAATCAAGATTGATTTGTCTTTACATAATGAGAAGAGACATCAATATGGCACAGAACACATTTTTAGACCCTTGCTTTTATTTTTTAATGCAGATCAATTACAAATAAAAAATATAAATAATTTATGTGCAAAACGCAAACTATTTTAAATTGGGCTCTCAAAGTACATTCACAACACAGATGTACACTAACAGCAGGAGTGAAAAAAGGCGACACTGCATTTGCTTTAAGAGTGTTTCTTGGATAACAATTTTTCCCTTTTTCAATATATCCATGGCATAGAAAGAAGGCAGAGCATGGAAAAAAAGTGTCTGCTCAAAAAGTACGCAAGCCCTAGAAGGCCATTGTTCAAACATTATATTTGATTTTGCGAGAATACAATTTATTTATGTGATCTTCTGAGAATAAAAAAGGTTGTGTTCCAAGATAACAGCCATATATTAATTATTTTATTTCCTCCATTTTCCCAAAGGTTAATTTAATTTATTTTTCAATTTTGCGGGTGTTGTAATATGTTGTATGTTGCCAAGAATTTGTTTTCTTATGCCTATTACGTTTATATTTTCAAACATTGATTTCTTGTGATTTCAAATTAAATATTTATTTTTCTTGAAAAAGAAAAAAACATTTTGTTATTATGGGGAAACAGAGACAATTTAATATTTAAACAATAGCTGTTTAAGGCATCCGTAGCCTTTGTGATATTTAAAGTCATCATACAGTATAACTTTCTTGAATTTATTTATAAACAGTTTCACATTTAGGATACTAATTCGCGCCAAAGCTCTCACTCGCCTCCTCTTTAAAAACATGACTACCTGTGTCCAAATGTTGAGACTGAGTTCTTAACTCATCCACAATCCCCGACACGCTGCCCAGCAGGCCCTGCATCCCGCCCTCCATCTCCCCATGAAAATCTGCCTGCTCTACTTTCACCTGTCCTCCTGCTGCAAGAAAAGCCCCCCCGTCTTCAAATCCGTAACTGTAGCTGTCAGCCATCCCTACTGCGGCTGTGCTAGCGTTGTTGCTGTTAGCCGAGGAGCTGGAGGCCAGTCTCTCGCACCGGGCCTGATGTCGGAGGAAGCTGTCCCTCCAGATGACCTTCTTCCCACACAGGCCGCACTCATAGGGCCGCAGCCCCCCGTGAGTCTTAAGGTGCTTGGTTAGATGGTGCTTCATCTTGAAGGACTTAGTGCAAACAGGACATCCGAAGGGCCGCAGGTTGAGGTGCTGCATCTTCACGTGGCGGTCGCGCATGCTCTTCAGGGTGTAGGCTTTGCCACAGTGGCAGAAGTGGACTTTGCCGATGTAGGGGGCGCCAGCGAGCGACACTGAGGAGGATGAAGAGGGGGTCGGGGGTGAGGAGGGTGGCGGCAATGTGGCAGAGGGTAGAGACACATGGCGACTTGAAGTGGGGGTCAATGAGCTGCCCTGTCCCACGCTGGTGGAGGGCCAGTTCACCTCTGTTCCTGCCGTGGTGAAGTCAGGAGACACCGGCACTAGAGGCCTCTGGGAAACCTGTCCCGTGCCGTCTTCAATCTCATCGTATGTGTCCCTGCTGAACGCCCCTTCTGTGAAGCATCCAAAGTCCACATCCTCCTCCTCATCCTCTTCATCCTGATCTTTACTGCAGCCCCCCCCCTCCTGCGGCCTCTGCTCTGGCTGGGACCAAGGCGCTGTCTGCCACTGCAGCCGGGCTGAAGCTGCACAGGAAGTGCCTGGAGCTGCCTCACCTGTTTGGCAGTCATGAACACTGGGAACATTCCTCTGAACTTTCCCCCTGGTCTCCTCCAAAATCACTTTTCCTGCGGCCGGACCACAGCCTAAATTCTCATTTGAAATTGAGTGGAAGTCTGTTGGGAAAATGGAACATCAGATTAAATCCATGCACAACAAGGAGAAGTAACATGTTAATGTTATGGACCAAATATGCCTGTTTGTAGGGCTGCACAGTTGGGAAAAGATAACCAATTTCACATTTGTATACTTATACTTTATTGAAACTGATATTTTAATATTGTGTCTTCTGCAATTTGAACATTGGACTACTCCATATTGCCATTTCATATCATTTTGATTAATTGGGCAGCCCTACCTGCCCACCTTTATTTATATAGCACTTATCATGCAAGATGCAGTCCAAAGTGCTTAACTGAGCAATACAAGATGCATCATTACCTTACAACATATACATCTTTTAAGACTAATAAGGCTAATAATTTTACTGCCAATTAATTTCTTTTTTTTAAGTTGAATAAGATCATTGCCTTATAAGACTTTTATTTAGAATCCACGGAAACCCATAGTATGGTAAAACCAAATCTATTAACATACATTTTAATACATTTAGTCCATTATGTCAAACATAGGAATATATTTGTGCCAAGTAGAATAAGGCTCTTAGATCTTACCGCAGTGTCCCATTTGTGCAAAGCTTCCCTTCTTCTCCACCTCCACTTTTCCAACTCCCTCATCTGCCTCAATCTCTCTTCTGTCCTTCCTCTTCTTCTCTGGTGTCTCATCACAGTCAGCGCTCTCTCTAATCTTCTCAGGCAGTCTCTCAGTGCTGGGCAGTGGTCCCCGCTGCTGAAACCTGACTTTCTGCTTTAAAGCCTCACCACCGGGGAACCCCCCATAGCACCGGCTATTGTGGCCCGCTCCATCATGAGCAAAGTGGCTGGTTTTAGCATGGCTTGTTACCCACGACTCCTCACAGCTGGTGTAATCACTCTCTGCGTAGCTGGGCAGAGTGTCCAGCTGAGAGTCGGCTAAGTGATGGGCTGAGGAGGGCCGCGGTCTCCCCCATCTAGGAAACTGCTGCGGGCGTCTCCATGTGGCTAAAGGAGGCAAGGCATCAGGCTTTCTCTCCTTCTTTCTTCCCTCCCTCTCCAGATATAAGCAGTCGGTGCTGCTGGGGGACTGCTGACGAGATGCGGTGCCGGGGTGAGCCACAGCAGCCTCTCCAGAGGGGGCTTCCACTGGAGGACGGGGCCTCTTCAGGATCTCTGTGCATTTGTCCACAATGTGCCACATCTGTAGGAAACTGGCCACGGTGACGTAGTTAACTATATCATCGTGCACGATGCTCAGCTGGCCCGTGTAGGCAGAGCTCAGGACGCTCTCAAAGGCCACCGGGTCCATCACTGAGGGGAGGGAGACCGTGGTGACATTCTTCAGCAACACCTGAGAGACAGAGATAAGACATGCTGAGATTTGGGCATCCAGACAGACATTTTTTATTAATTGAAGAAGGGACAGTGCACATTCATTAACATGAGCACATGATGTACATGTGGGAGATATAGCCATAAAAAAAAGCAGCACCATAATTCCAAGACCAAAACCCAAGAACACCATTACACACACACAACCACAATTGAGGAGCAATTACAGCACATTAATTATTAAAAGCACTTATATACAAACCCATAAACAAGCAACAGACACAAAAGCACATACATAAGCACTGATAAAAGCTAGATAAATGGGATGAGGAGAAACAGTAGTGGAATGTGACCACATATCTGTACTTAAAGTACTGTCCTTGTAAAACTTGAGTATTTCAACTGAGTGCGACTTTATACTTTTACTTTACTTTACTTATTACTAAACTCCGAGGGAAATAAAGTAGAGCTTTTTTTTTGTTCACTGATTGCAATTTTTCACACCCTTCCTGTACAAAATGGTGTTGAATGTAAAAGGATGAAGTGTTCCTTTATGGCTTAAGAAGATATTCTACTTCAGAAGCTAAATAGACTACATCAAATCCTCTTGGATCAGCTAGGAAGTGCATTTTCACAAAGTTGCACAAAAAGTATATGAAGTTGTTAATATTACATTTCAACAAGAATCTGTAAGTTATTATGTAAATATGTAATTACATTTTTATTTATCACTGCAATCTACCCGCTACCACACAGTATTCGACAATGTTACACTAGTATTTAATTGTACTGCTTACTTATTTTCCCCTGAATGTGTACTCTAAATTCCCCCTCTGTTGGACGAATAAAGGAATTCCGATTCTGATTAAAATATGGGCACCACAACAAACATCTACAGCAGTAGTTACTTGTAATATAATCCAAAAACATAATATGAGAAAGATATGACAACGACATGGATAATTTGACTGAACATATTAATCACTCTTTAAGTACATTATACTGATAATTCTTACTTTCTTATAGTTCAATGCAAGACTTTAACTTGAAGTGGGGTATTTTAACAGTGTGGTATTTATATTTTTATTTCAGTAAAGGTAGTGGATTCTTCTTCAATAAACCGAGTAAAAACCAATACATTATTATAGCTGGATGAATCAGAATCTGATTCGGTTTTATTACCAATTAGGTTTACACATCTGAGGAATTTGCTTTGGTATATGTGGTGCATACAAAGATACAGAAAGAAGAATACAAAGCAAAACAAAAAACAACAAAAAAAGGACTGTTATGACAGCTATTTAAAAAAAACTATTAAGACTATGATATAATTATTATAATAATAAATGAACAATATTAACACATGACAAATACTATATACACTGTATTTAGTGGAGAGCTGTGCTGATTTAAACAGAGTATCTGTAGACACAATATATTGCAGTGTAGCATGGTGTACCTGGTCATGAAAGTAAGGCGAGGAGGCAGCCAGCACACAGCGGTGGGCTCTGAACACGTGGCCCTGCACCTGGATGGAGAGGTCACACAGCCGGCCCTCCTCCCGCTGCCGGTTCAGATTGTCCAGAACAGCAGCTCGGGCCCCGGGGAAACACACCTGCACCGTCAGACCAGCTGGGGCCACAGAGGCACTGCAGGTCGGATCCATGCTCACACACCACTAAGAAAGAGAAGATTTAAACATTACTAAGTGCAAAAGTTTGGGTTTATTTCAAATATATGGTGCCTATAAAAACCTGTGCTTTGTACCTTTTTTGGTTTTGTCTTGTATCCATTAGATGTGCATGAGTGTAAATGTGTATTTGTAGTTTTTAAGATAACGTAGCTGATCTGTTCTTGTACTTCCTTCTCCAATATCACAACACAAAAGAGAGGCCATGAATGTAGATGTAATGCAGACCCAAGAGAAAACTAAACAAGGGAATACAATAACGGTGACACTTCAGTTAGGGCATAAGACAAGGAATGTAAAGCTGAAGTATGGACTTATTGCTACCTGATCAACACAAAGTACTTTTTAAACAATTTTGCCAGGATAGTCATTTATAGTGACTTAAATCAAATATAAAATGCCCCCTAAAACTGACCGTAACAATTAACGTTACCCGTTTACCTTTCGATATTATCAAACGTGCAATCTAACTGTATTTAGTTTGATAAGAAGTTAATTCCACTTGATGATAACTACTACTAGCTAGCTAATTGTTAGCTAAGAAGCTTAAGGTTAACATGGGCCGTCAGATAAACAGCTGTCCTAAAAACAGTATTATTATCGTGGAGGACAGCATTAGTAACACTGTGTTCATTCCGTGTTAACTAGCTAACCAACGGTCACTTGTTAGCTAACAACACGTTAACTAGCTAGCAGTACATGTTAGCTTAGTTACTTTACCTTCGATATGTCGGGCTTTTTGCTTGGATAGGGGAAGTCACTGGATATTTGCAGACCAGCATTATAGTTTGCAAACTCCATATACGAAGTACCAATGCATGTGTTGTTGTAAAAAGGCAAGCTCGTAAATGCTAACAGCAGCTTGCCCGTAGGCGTAGCTGATGCTAGCTGGTGGAGTGAACACTGAACAGCATCAGTGAGCCTCTCCATATACTGTATACATAAAGAGACACACACACCTGAGTTTGGTGGTTTAGTTAATTATTATTAACCATGACAATATGCACGTTAACTCGAGGCTTTACCTTCAAGGCCATATCATTATTATAATGATTAAAGCTGAACCCAAAAGTGTATTGGCAGTTATTGGAAGATATAGTGAGGTCATAAACATTATTACACAATTAAAAACTCCTGTGTAATATAAATGTAAACAATAATCATAAAAACAAAAAAGGTATCTTAACATAATGAAACATGTAATACCTTAATCGGGGGATATACAAATAGTATTTATTATACAAGTACGTCTTACAATTAAATTCAACTAGAACAAACATATTAATTTATTAATTAAGTAATATATTATAGTATGCCCTACAAAGTTCAAGTATTAAAGGGTTTTATTGTCATATGCACAGTAGCTACAGTGTAGTTATGGTAATGGAAATCTTAGGTTCCAAACACCTCCAACAATGCAACATATTATAAAGGACATACAGTAGTAGAGGAACAAACCCCCAAAAATGGCTTTAGTTATCGAGATACCCCTACCCGAGGTAGAACAAAGCACAACCATGTTTTTTCATTACTTGAATATGTCTAGTTTATAAAACGGATTGTTGTATAAAAATATTTTACTGCAAAATTTTTTTTTTTGGTTAATGTTTGGAACTTTCCCATAACCGAAAATAGTGAAAATGTAGGCTCCTCTGAAGGGGGCCGTGTTGGCCTTATCCCATGTATCTCTGGAAATAATGATCGGGATGTTACCAAATGTGGCCTAAATGTTCACAGAGAGGCAAGGCATACAATAAAGCAAAGATTATATCAATACCTTTGACCGTCTTTGTAATATTAACACTTAAACACACATAAATCATAGGCGGAAATGGAATAGGACATTTAAAATGCAAAAGGTATGTTTATTTTCTGTAATTTTTTTAATAAATAGTCCAATCACCCAAAAATGTCATCTATATTGACCAGAGACTCTTATCTTTTCATACAAATAGTTGTTTTGACTATTCACCCTCTGCTGTCACCAGCCTCTAACAGCTAACCAGTGCAGCCAAAATGGCCGTCAGAATGGGGCCCTGTGGGCGTACCTGTGTGAAGGGAAGGACACAAAGCATAGATTAAGAGATCAAAAAATATTATATACCTAGTACATATTATATATAATAATGTGTTTTATTATAATCATTATTATATATATGCTTTATATATCAAACTTTCCCATTCCAAACACAGTTTCTTTTTGTATTTTACATAACCTTTGAATAACACTGTTGATACTGTAGATACTGTGATACCATGAGCTAACTGGTTTCTTGGCATAATATTTTTACATGATTTAAAGGTCTCCTATCATGTAAAATGCACTTTTTTATGTCTTTCATACACAAATATGTGTCAGGGAACTCACAAAGTGTCAGAAAATAAAATCCTCTCTCTTTTCCTCTGTACCCAAATCTCTAAAAACGGGGCTACAACGGAGCTGATCCAGATTTGCTGCCGATATGACGTAATATCTGAAATGTGGACCCACAGCACTATCAGAAACGTTGCTATCAGAAACAATGCCCGACTGTTTTGGACGTAATATGGTCTGTGTTTACATTAGCAAGCATCGCTAACACTCAGAGCTAACCTGTACTGGAGAGAAGTACGTAAGTATGTGTAAAGAAGCAGGAAATAAAAAGGAGAAAAAGAGTTTGAGCTCCATACTGTTTCAGAAATAATCCTTGATGTGGAATGTTTAATTATTAGATTGGATAAATCAAAGATTAATCTTAAATGATGTTTTATGTATATAAATGATATACAGTACAGTATGTATTTATACACTGGGATCCTTTGTATTTGTGTTATATAGCCTTTTGTTGTTGTTGCATTCATCAGCAGTGGCGGTGCCAGGGTACGGCTGGGGTAGGCTACAGCCATACCAAGAAATGGCTTAGCCCCACCTTAGCCCCACCATGAAAAATGATGTTAAAGTAAGCAAAATAAAGTCCGCCAACTCGCGCGGAGTAAATTGCACAGACAGCAGTTATTAAGATTGATTTCAGTAGCCACTTGTCTGGAAATACCGAAGACTAGAAACGGTTTTGAAAACTTTTGTCACGTAGTGATCTTCTTCTCAATAAAACATCTTTGATAATGTCTTCTGGCCATTTTGGCCAATCAGAATCACGATAACGGCGTGGTGTTGTTGCAGGAAGTCCCAACGGAGAATACTTTTGCTGTAGTACATCTCTATATACATCGATACAACATTACGTGTTGATAGAAATCAACACGTAATGAAATAAGACCCCACGGTTTGATGATTGATAGGTGTGTGGGCTGTCTTTCATTTTGACACACAGAACAATGGGGGCTATGCACCCTTATCCACAATGTAAAGTAATTCACACAGCCTCTCCCCTCTTCTCTCTGTGAGGAGCAGCAGGTTCAGCTTTCAGAACAAAGTAACAAAAAACAAAAATGGCATTCATTTTTTTAAATGATGATTTATTTATTTAAGAGAGTACCAGAATGTGTATTTTATGTTAGTATTTCAAAAAATCTCCTGGGGGAGAATCCCCCCAGACCCCCCTGAAGGGGTTGGGTTTTCAGCATGTCAACTCTTTCACCTGTGGGGAAATTGCAGGATTGGCTCCAGGTCGCCCTTTTTATTTACTACAAGACAAATGTGCCTTTTTATTTCATACAGTTCAATTTGGATTGAGACAGGGAAATAATCTAAACCTCACGCGTGGCGTTTCACTGTCAAGCGTGTATGTAATTACATTGCAAATACTGACTTGAGCCCCACCACTGTATGGGTTAGCCCTACCATAGATTACCCAACAAAAATACTCTGGAGCCGCTACTGTTCATCAGTGATATGAAGATGACATCTAGCCTTCTATTTATTATTCCAATTTTCCTTGTGGGAGCCATCAATGTACCTAGTTGTTGCATAAGCAACCCGGTATCACGGCAAGACGTGAACATGTGACGATCTACCATGCTGGGAGACGTGAATATGTCACGGTTTCGTCCCTTCAAACGTGACAGTTACACGGTATTGTTAACATGGCCCAACCAGTGGAGAAATACCCGGAAGTGCCAAGCAAATGGTCTACCGCGCCTATTGGTCGGTTTTTATTGTCAAAATTAGATGTTTTTCATTTATTTTTTAATCGTCACACTTGATTTCGCCGATTTTCTTGTTTCCCTAGCTGGTCGACACCTCTTTTAGCAGAAACAAAGGCTACATTAATGTATTAAATCGATGTTAATCCATGTGTGTGGATCATAGACTGGTGTGGATGTGGAATTAACGGACGTGACGTTGTGCGATTGCGTTGCCAGGCAACGCAATTTACAAACTCTTCAACTACAACCCTAATTATATTTAAAAACATTTTAGAAGGCCTCACAAAATACTTTAACGTAAATTAAAATGTAAATGTGAAGGGATGTGTGTAATGTGATGATTGACATTATTCACCCACGGATCTATGGGTTGGGGGTATTGTTCCGCACGGACATTTTAGTTAACCGGACTTACTGTTGATGTGAAATCCGAAAAAAAATACGTTATACACCATAACGGTGCACAGCTGATATAAAAGGACTTGTCGTTTTTAAAGATATTACTGATTTTCTTTGAATATAAGAATGTAAATACTGGGTGTTTCTCAATCGCGAGTACGCTTGCTTGGTAGCACATGTCTGCCGAGCATCTTGCTTCAGAAGCGAGGCAAGAATACTTCCTGCCATTCGGAAAACAAAGAGCGGAACAGGCTAGCAAGTGTGCAGGTGTGCTTCATATGAGAGGCCCCGCCTTACATCTTCCGCCACAGATTTGGGGAAATTGGTCCGTGCGCAAAGCATTGTGGGGATTTTAAGACCGCGGAGTCTACTCATGTGCAGCCTCGATATTTCTCCAAACGGAGTACGCCGGGCTCGGTAGATTTCCAAGTATGCTGGAGATTGGAACAGTACTTCGGCGGCACTTGATGACGTAGTATGCTTGAAATAGTGGCTCTGAAGCAGCTTTACTCGCGATTGAGAAACACCCCCTGAGTTGAGAGAATAGTCAGGGGATTTGGGTGATGGGAGACACATCGATGGATTCAGAATTGCAATAGCTTACTGTTAAATGACGGATATACCTTTCTGTCTGTGATGTTTTACAAATCAGATATTATAAGTAAAACATGTGAAATAATATAGCAATATCCTGTACAATTATGTGAAAACATGAATAAAACTACACATCTTCAGATGCTATACATACACAAGTGTCCTACACTAATAATACAAAGTTATTATGGCTGTGTGTACCTTGTGTGCACCGCCTAGTGGTTAAAGCACGTTATTGAATTAGTTGTGTATATGATATGTCAATGAACCTTAGAAAATCTTGAAATCTTGAAAGGGATATGCAAAATAGCCATTATATACAGTCTTTAATTAACTATTAGTAGAGAATAACGAGTAATGAATATACTTTATAGGGATCTGCAGATAAATGTTTAGTCTTCTCAAGCAGCAACTATCAAATATCTCTCCTGATTGTTGGCACTTGACAATCACCTTTCCCTGAATTTTACTCAGGTGTAACTAAAGCCTGATTTAAGGGTTGTTTATATTTCACATCATTAATCAGAATCTGCAAAGTAACTAAAATAAATGTAGTGGAGTAAAAATACCACGTTAACCTCTGAATTGTAGTGGAGTAGAATTGCTGTTTTGTTTAGTAATGGATATTGAATATGGAATAAAGGTTTTGACAAGACCTGGTGTAACAATAATCAAAAAGGACATTAAAAGAGCTCCAGATGTCAATGATCTAAACAAAACAGCACACCTAAAATGTATATTTAAATACTTTATTAAGGGCAGTGAATTCGTTTTTTCTGTATGTTTTTCAAATCAGTGTTATACAGTAAGTGTCATA